TTATGAATGTTTATATATGAGGCTGATGTAAGGGAGTGGTGATTTAATCTTTTTTATTGTGTATTCATAGTTTTTACGTATATACATACGTACGTATACAGCTAAATGTTTTATTGAATGGGGCAAACATGTGTTCACCTCTGCATATAAGACATTATTCTGCATTTATGCCTTTTGAATCAAAGTATTAAATCTTTCATGTATTACACCATTATAAAACTTGATGTTTGAAATATACTTCTTTTTCCGTGTTGAACCCTTTTCTTGGCCAGTGTTACGAGCAACCAATTAGCGTGCATAGGTCATGTATACCATGTTATAGATTCACGTCGTCACTCCTTGTAAATGTAATGGACGCACGAACAAGTTTGCCTCTTTGACCATATCTGAAGTATCATGGTATTGAAACACATTTATATATGTTACCAGTCCAACAGTTTATGAATGAAGAACATTATCAGTTATTTGTGGTTGGTGTTATTAATATCACTACCACCATCAATGCGATAAGAAATTAAACATAAAGTTCAACGTTTATAGGTTTTACTTTTTAGGACGGACGATGTTTCTGTTACAGGTTTGTCTTCAGATTCAATGCATGAATTCATCTGTTTCTTCTTTTTCTTCTTCTGCTTTCCTTTAGATAACCATTATTTCTTTTTTTTCTTTTCTTCGAAATCTCGTGAAATCTTGTGTTTGTTTGTTTGTGTTTATATAGTGCATTGATGCTTTTTAAACAAACATGATGTGAGTAGCGTAGATCCGGAACTCGCAAATAATTATCACGAATGCGTCTGAAATCAGAAAATTCTAATATAAAATGTTCCACTGTAAATGGAGTGTTGCATGCGTGGCATATAGGTGGATCCAAATCTCGTGAAATCTGTTCTAAGTTTGACAATAGAATTATAAAGGTATTCTGGAGTTCGCTTCTATTCTATCCTCCATTTTGCACACGATGTTCCGGAATCCCAAATATTATAAGATTATTCTGTCTTTGTTTTCTATTCTTGATATCTGAGATGTGACCACACAATCTGTAAACATTGCCGGGTTTTCATTTAGTTTCCATCCTCTAAGATGCCTTTAAAGACAATTCTACAGGTGCACCATAGCAACATTAAATCTGACTTCGATAAAATTTCAAACTTCCAGTGTTCAAAATTAAGACATTTGATGATGTTCATTGCAACACTTACATGCCATTATTTTTCTTAATTTCACCTTGCAAACTTTAGAGTATAGTTTACAATTAACTGTGAAACAGCTAAAATTAAAATAAATATGGACAAAGATGAACCTTCTTTTTATGGAGCTCCTAATATATGTCCGTACTCATTGCATGACGTCACAATCTCCTTCCATTAATGTTTCAATTAATAGTGTTTAAACATTCTGCTAAAAATAATCGTACCAATTAACAATACAATCACATTTTATAATTGCTGATCTTGTTTACTGTTCTCGTTTCTTATTGTATTTATACAAAATCCTTCACTAAGCTGATATTCACTAAGGATCTTCGGACACGACTCTATAACGTAACGTGACAAGTCGATTTGCAGGAAACATGTAAAGTAAGAGCACATTGAGCATTAATAGAACCAAATGACATGGATGTTGACAGAACGTATAATTAAGGCAGAAGATACCCTGTAAACGTTTAGCACTGAAGTGCTGTTAATTTGACATTAATTGGAGATTTGTTAGCCACATCGATTACAAAGGATCTTTTGAAGCGCGTTATGTATACATGATGTAAAGCTATGTTAGAAGTGCTCAATCAGATTGATAGTAGCTCAGTATCATCGTTATAACTCTTTTAGCGTATGGTGATCAGGAACAGCATTAAAGAAGTGTATCAGAACTAGCAATTAACATGGGCCTTAATGATCGGAGCCTGATGAGAAAAACAAGCCCTTTAAAACCATATTCCATTATTCACTTTATTATTGATTTCTGACAATGATCTATTTCTTGTATTCTGACACGAATCTTTGAATCCATACTATTATTTTGCCAATATGATTTTTTTTTACCAAAATACTGAAAGAAACATTTGCGTTATGTCTTCGAAGTCATGATGTTCCAAGCAAGCTCTTAAATGCCGAACCACCTACGGCATAAACACCATATAATGGGGTAGGGACGTGACCATCAAGAAATGGAATGTTCACTATCAGAATTCGACGTTGTCCGGTTCAAACCTTTTCACGGGTAATGTTTAATATCTTTTTCATGAAGTGAAAAGAGAGTAGATTGAAAAACCAAAATAATGTCCGATAATAAAAGTGTAAAAGCAACTAATTCGGGAAAAAACTCCATTATGTTCCGTTCAGCTTAAATTAAAGAAAGCAGCTACGAGGCGGTTGCCAGAGATACACAGCCCAAGAAAAGATGAAGTCCACAGTATGAAGAAAAATCAATACATGGGGTATATTGATAAAACGTAAACGTTAGTTGATATATTGATAAGGATTCCCTTACGTATGCCCGAAGCTCTTATATCATATCTAAGAATTAACAATCTCGATTAGATATCAATTGTAGTCGACCATGATCGTTTCAATATCCTCTTTACTATCACTGCAATGCTTACCATCGCATGGCGACTAGATATTTCATCGAGAAATAAGAAACCTAATATAATTTGTCATGTGACGAGATAAAAAAATACAGTAATTATGTGAATACTTCTTTTTATTCATTTTTATATGATTATTGAATATATATATATATTATATATACTTTTTAAAAAATCTATTGAACTCTCATATGAACGTAGTAAATTTTTCTATTTTCTTTTCTATGAAGATCTGCTGTCGTCATAGAAACACATATGATTTACATTTTGTCTATTCTCCTTTGCCTTCTCTTTTTTTTCGGGGTATTTCCCTAGGGACCTGTCTTCATATGGCATTGTAAATTCATTTGATGACTTTTACCCTACACCTTTTGATATGCTGCCCCCACTGCAAAACTAGGGATCCACGCATTGTTTTTCTATTCCCCTAGTGTTGGTTTTTCTGTATCTCCCTATGTTTCCTCTGCCAATTACTTTACAAATAACTGCAATATACCAAATCGAAGTGTTGTCCCTATTGCAATATTTGGTGTCTAGATCGTTTCTTTTCTCTCCTTCATGTTGTTAATTTTCGCTGGTGTCTTCCATAATACTGTCTTGATGAAGACATTGAAAAAGTGTTGTGATTGCTATCATGTGTATTACGAAGGAAGATGTTTCAATAACGCTTATTGGTGAAACTTGTAATTTTGTTGTCACTGCCCGCATTTCTCAATTTGTGGACATGACATTGCTTGTGTTTGACCTTTATTCACATAGCGTGTGTCGTCGATGAAGCAGAAGACATGTGCCAGTATGAAACCATTCACATGCTCAAACATGGATTTTGTGTAAAAACATAATTTCTTGATCTGGTTATAAATTAATTTAAATATCTTATTTTGGCAATGATTGGGAAAACATTTAAAGAGACTAAGAACCGGATACTTGTTATCAATTAAGTATTTGATCGTTTGGCATGAGTTAAGTCGGCTACAATAATACCGTTTTGAGCATGCTTTAGCATGACAACGGTTTCATGAATACAGGCCAAGGTCTTATCCCCCTTTTTTTGAATGTCTCTTTCTCTTTTAATTCTTTCCTTTGATAATAGTTTGCCCTAGTTTGTTTTTCGATTTTTAGATGGATTTATGTTCTTGTTGATTCCTGGGTATTCTCTTGATTTTGTTCATATGGTCTTATAACTTCTTGTTCGAAGATGTTTACGATAAACTGAGATGAACTCAGACCTAGTCAATTGAAGTTCATCTGTATACCACGCGCTCTAGATCTGTTGTGACAATGATTAAGACATAATGGTTAGAATGAAGAGGTTACAGACTAATTAGTATACACTCACAAGACATGAGTCTATTCTCAAATGGCGATGTGACATCAAGCAGAATATATGAAGCATTACACACACACATGATCAAAGAAAGAGCTCGCTAATGAAAAACGAATGAAAAAAAGAAAATCAATGTATTAATGTATTACAAGAATAAAAATGTACCAGAAGTTATTTCTGGTGAATGCACACCTTGACAGGAGATAACCTTCTGGATGCACAGGGAACGTAACTGGTTACATATTTGGTTTGCTGTTGCGGTTAATGACGATTCCCATTGTTGACGTCTCCTCGGTTTCGGTATGATCTTCGATAACGCTTTGTATGCAGATTCATATAGCACAACCAGTGATAATCCTTTTTATGACTTTTCGACGATAGTACGATTTGTACTCTGTCACCTCCATCAGACAATGGACCGGTAACGCGTATATACACTTAGGTGTTGAAATATACGAGGTGACAATCAAGTCGGAAAGTCGATTAGGCTTCGCTTAAAGCAGATAATACATTAATTGTATACACAATGTACGGAATGACAATATAATCGACAAATCGATTTGACAACGCTTTGTATTGTACCTGGTCATAGATTAAAACAAATATGTTTCCTGATGTGGTCGCATCTGTATACAGGTTATAACATCACATACGAAAACCGGATTATTCTTTAGATACTTATAATATTATTTTCATAAATGGTCGGCCTGCCAAAGGGTTTAAGTTTTTGTTGTTGTTTTTCGTTTGGTTTTTGTAAGCCTGACACTCCAAATATCTACTACAAATGTATCTTACAGCTGCATTTTTAAATAAACGCTAAAACATGAAAACGTACATTTCTGTTTCACTCATTTTTACTTCCCGTTAATCTCTTCTAGCATCACAGTTTACCATTCTTTTAATGTAAGGCGTGTTTGAGAAAATTAAATCAATGCAATTACCGAAACTGAGATTTCATTTTCATCTTTATTTTAAATCGTTGCTTTGCTTACCGATTTTAGAATACATGTGTGAGGAATTGAATATTACCATAACACGTGCTAGAATAATTCCATATTGTTTAAAATATCGTTTTTGTTCTCTTATCAGATACCGGACAGAGAGGGCAAACCATTGATCTGGCTTGGGGATACACATGGCGACCATTCATAAGTATGGTAAAAAATTACTGGGACTTATTTGGGACGTCGGTCAACTAACTGATGAGAACCTGTGATAATGAGTTCCATGATAGATGATAATGAAAACCCATCGGGAGGAAATGATTCTAAAGACAACACAACAAAAGAGGAAATGGAGGCGACTGCTGTTAGTAACGATGAGTTTGTCGAACAACACAGAGAAGTTCCGAACGTGCATCAACAAATCAACGAGAGTTTTTCGGAACAAAGTTATCAGCAGTTGCAAGCAAAGCAAACAGTTAACGAAACAAAGAATAATGATACACTGGTATCGTCTGATCTACCTGATGGTTCTACGGATACAATTGACCAACACAAGAACAGCGGTGACCAAAGTGAAAAGGACCAAGACATTCAAGAAAATAATACCGATTATAAGAATTTACAAATCATGCAACAATCGGAATCTACGTATTTCGGATCACCTAAAAAGCTATTGACAACCGATATTGTGCATGAGAAATCATCATCTCTGAGTGATGTACAGACTACAAATATATCTACGTCTATAGAAACAGGTGATAATTTAGATGCAAAGTCAGACCATCCCACCCAGACATTGCCTGAAGCCCACTCTACACCCCAACAACACTCGAACGGATTACCGGTAGCAGATGCTGTACCGCAGCCTAGCAAGGCACACCCGAGGGGTATTTTAAAAAACACGAAATCGGAGCCCGTGATTGTTATAAGTGAGCCGATTGAGGCAATCAAGCATTCTGATTCGACGGGTTTAATAGAGATCTCACGACCGACGTGGCCTAAACACGGCAGGAGAAAGTTCTTCAATGTCAGCACAAGTGCCAATTACTTCAGAGTGAGTACAAAGAATGCCAACTGCTCGGTATCTTGTTTCATTTTCGATTTTCTGATGGCTTGTTGGCTTTAAATCTATTATTACTGTTCTTTGTTTTAATTTTAGATATGTTTTTGTCTGTCTGTGTTGTTAACAAAGTGTTTGTATTAGGTCATCTGTATAGATTTGCTGACCACCGCGTACATTTTATCTACCTATTTAGTCTCATCGAACCAGAGCCTTGTAAAGAAGAATGCAGCTACTTTACATTTTATTGATATATATATATATAACCTTAAGTTTGACTCAATGAAAGTCCATGTAACAACTTAAATCTGTTCATTTTATCGATGAACTTGAGTAGAAAACGTAGGTTTGACATCAGTAGTAAGTACGTCACGTCAACACTGAAAAAGACCTCACTATGATTGTGGTATTCACATGGCTGGAGATCTTACACTTGTGTTTAGTATCATTCATCTTTTTTCAGAACTTAAAATGACCTTTTAGGTGGTGTGGATATATAATCATTGAACTGCCTTTTGACGGTAGTATGGAAGCAGTTTGTAACAACCATATTCTTTATAGAGCGCCTCAATCTTTATATTTGTATAAAAACATGTTTAAATGCTCTACGAAGAAAAGAACAGTCGAAGCGGGTTGCTACGATGGTAACTACGATAGCCGTAGTTGCTATGATAATATAGTTCCAGCAACCTTTCATTTATTTGAGTAAATTTAGAAATACACAGTGAACAGCACTATCTTATTTTTTTTGAATAGCTTTTAAGTTTTAAATGATTTAATCTGAGTAGCCCGTCGAACATTTTATCCATTTATAACGGTCGTTATGAACGCGCATTGACAAATTACTCTGGTGGTGACACGGTCGAATGTTCCAAAACAAAGCGGCCGTTGTGTACTTTAACGTCAAAGAAATTTGAATGTGTATCCATAAAATTAGAAGTCCGCCAGCATCCCTTTGTTGTAAAATAAGACCTAATGGATCCTGCCTATCATATGTTGAAGGAACTAATCAATGACTGTGATCGGATTGTTTTTCTATCTGAACTGCGAACGGCGCCATATTTGAAACACGTATCAACCGCCCGATCATTGTTTTACTGCGTTTACGCTAATCTAGACGCAGTAAGAGTTACCAAAAATAAGAAGGAAGAGATGTAAATATGTTAGTTTGGATATTATATATAAAGCCTGTGGGATGATGAGATGAATTGGGCTGGAACAAATCTATTCGCCCCGCTATCTCCACAATAGCAAGATAATAAATAATAAAACATGAAAACAGGGATTAAGAAAAGTAATATATCCGTTGTTACCCACTACATGTTGTATGAGGCACCTTATGAAGGAGACCCCTGCAGAATTGAGAATTTTGGTTTGCGCCCTTTACACAAACATTTGTTTTTTAACACAAGCTTTAAGATTGTCACAAATCAAAATATAATACTCCTGCTTACTTTATATCAAAAGTCAAAAATCCGTTCAGCTGTTCTCGACAAATAGGCTTTCAAAGAAAAGGTTGACGATGGGCGGGCGACAGTCAACGAAGCGATTGCGGACGCTCAACGCTAAAAGCTCCCCAGCACAATCAGCCATGTGAGCTAACATTGACTATAGACTTCCCGTGATATCTGTTAATCAATATTTAAACATAATATTAGTAACCATCAAGTCGCTTGTAATAGACACAGCTTAATCGATAATCCCTACCATGGTGATACATATTTCCAGGTCCGACTCTAATCCGGATTTTGAATCCGGATAAATCTAACGGGTTATCCGTAATCCGGAATTTCTATTTGATACATGTTTATGTATATGAATCCGGGTACATGTATTAGGCTTAACGGAACTGGTAATTTGTGTTTGGAATAGTAATCCGGTAATATGTATCGGAGCGTACGTGTCCAGAAATCTGTATCTAGAATTTGAATTCTGGTATAAATATCGGGGATAAGTATTGAAGAATATCTGTATCTGATATATAGATACGAGTATCGTAGGATACATCACTGAGAATTTCTATATAATATAAAAAAGGGGGATTACGTATTGGGATATACGTTTCCGGTAATTTGTATTGTAGTATTCTTATCCAGGTATACAAGCATGCATAAAAATGTGGGCAGATATCGGCCTGCATCTATCCCTGTATGATCATCGTAATATGTGTTTTCGTTTTGATAAAATGCATTACCTGTAACTGAGCAAGATCGGTTTATCTTAGTCAAGGGCGTGATTCTGTAATATCAATCCAACTGAGGCCCAAGCTAAGGTCGGGATATTATGGAATCTTAGCCTGAATCTGAGATAACCTTTTCGCACTTAGGTATAGGTTGTTGATTTTTTAACTCGCACCTCAGTAGTTCAAAATATCAATTTCATTGACGTTTATTTATCTTGTGCCAACAAGTAATGTGGCCTCTCCACTTCTGCGTGAAAGACGTAATCTCAATAAATGTCAAATCTGATATATTTACATTTGCATGGCATTGTCACTATATAGCCTCTTTGAAAGCTGTGTCGTTGATGGGACTTTAATTACCATGCATCACGAGACACAATTCTTAGCGTATTAATACAACACTGACATGAACTACAATATCCAATGTAAATTAACATGACGGCTGCTGAAATATCGCTGGGCATTGTGAGATTTGGCAATGTCATTGTAAATTTATGTGCAAAATAAAATTGTTACAGCGAAAACAAGACCAATGTCTGCAATATCGTACAAGATGCACATCGGTTGTAATCACCAATGCCGGCACAGAAACAATTTTAACGCTCATGCAATTTATCAGAAATATCGTCTGTTACACTGCACTGATCAACATGGGTTCGTTACAAATGTCTGAAATACACATATTCTATAGACCTACTGACACATATGTTACAGACCTACTGATATGAGTCACAGCACACATAAACATTTCAGACATTTGTAACGAACCTGTGCTCCGTCGCAAGATCACTCACTTCAAACCACGGAATTAGATTATCTAAGTCCGTGCTTCAAACGCTATCGGTTTCACGCGTCTCGCATCCACGGTTAATTCCTCAGTTTCTGACGACTTGTCAAATAACGAGGCTGTTATATAATCTACCGACTGTTGTCAGGTTCCCATACAATCAACAAATACATTGACGCCTGGATTCTTCACAAAATAAGCAAAGAGAAAAGTTCGAATTAACTTCCAAAAATAACTCCCTCGTCGGATTTACGGTGTTCAATGTATTTGTCCATGCGCGAAATTTGAAAAAGAACATAGCGCATTATGAGTTGTTTGCTTGCAAAGCTGTGTCATTCAAATATATCATAAATACCATACAAAAACAGTTAAATGCTTAACTAAATTCATGAATTAAAAACATTAAACATTACTTTTAATGGTAAAATAAACTATTTAGGCTGTATGTTGTTCAATGTTGTTTTGGCACACTGTTTAATCATATATTTATTTTCTTACTTTATTATGCAATACACCTACCATCAATCAACTTTCATGCACCGTTGAAAAGTCTGCAGAAATAGACTCATGTCTTTAATACAATTTCAAAAGGAGTTGATTCACAGTCTTTATTCTTTCTGATAAATTCTGTGTCATATTTTGATTATTTGTATCAATGTAAAACTTATTGATTAACCATTAGATTTTGGGTAATATAGTTAATACAGATTTTTTGTGCACTTTATATAAATCTGCATGGTGGTTTATGTTTTTGCCATATAACCCTGAAAACTAATCTTTGTTGCTTCTTATAATGATTTGTTTGGTTTGTTTGTGTTTTACGTCCTATTTAAAGGTTAAGGTCATTTAATGACGAGCAAGGATTTGGTGGTGAAGGAAAGCCAGAATTCCCGGAGAAAAACCACCGACCTACGGCCAGTACTTGGCGACTGCCCCATGTAGGTTTCGAACCCACGATCCAGTTGTGGAGTGCTAGTGGTAGCAGAATAGCAGACGCCTAACCACTTGGCCAACCCCCCTCCCCCTTATAAATAAATTCAACCAGTCATAAATAAGAATGACAAAACCGCGCAAAACAGGCAATGTTTCACGTCGTTGATGCTGATTTTTTAACGATATAACCAACAATATTTAGCCTCGGGAAAATAGCCAGAATTCCATAATTATAAACTACCTATGTATAACCTATGTGTATCCGTCCAGTATCTACTGGATCATTGTCTACCTGGTTCTGCTACTTTGTTCTATAGGAGCATTTTGTAATAATGAACACATTACCTATAAAATAATCAATAATATGCATCAGTTATTGATTTCAATAATGTCCACAGTTTGATGACCACAGCAAATGTGAAGTAAACCTACAGAATTAGATATGGTTTATGCTTAAACATTTATAGGTTTGAAGGTGATAATTACGCACGGCCATTCAACCCTTAGGAAAGTAGCTCAGCGTCTATCAGTGTTGTGATTACCTTATAAGTAAGTTGTACTCCTAATGTAGGCCCCATAAAACCATTGCGCGACCTGAGAGGCCCTTAACCTTTTAAAGAGTGAATAGTAAAACGTTTTCTCTTCTACCCTACTGTACCATCGTTCCTCCTGGGGTTACGTTCAAGTATGCTCTCTGCACCCCTGGAATATTTCATGACAAAAGTCAAAGTATGTCTGTGTGTCAACTTGGATGAGACTGGTAAAGCAGTTCGACCCTTCAATGTACATCAGAAGAAATCTGCGCTGCAGCGTTACGGTAAAATTGACCAGCTTTGAAATCGGGTGTCGCTCCTATGCAATCTTAAAAAAACAGGCACAGATTATCAGCCAAGCTATTGGTCACTTTTTTTTATCTGAGCGTTTTCGTGTGAACGTTACCCATTGAGTATCGTTGATGACCCGACCGCCTTTTTCTTTTTCTCCGACCGCAGTATCATTTTATAGGTAAAAGTGTTGATGGGCCGTTAAACCATCAACAAACATACAATTGTTTCATGCATGCATTTATGCCTAAAGGGCACATTGTTATTGACGACAGAAACCTATTAACCAGCAATGTTAGACACATTTTGAATATCTCAGCTTCTTCAAGTGTCTTTCATTGTGTAGGTAGTTCCCATATGTCATCGACACTCACTGTGAATTTGAAAGCGCCTGTAACTAATCGTGTATTTACGCTTGAAGACACCTTCGGTTTCATATTTGAAATCAACATCAATTTTACATTTCTGTATTAAATGTCTGGGGTCATGTCCGCTGGACCGTGTTATCGATTTTATAGCGCTCTTGACGTTATACCTGTAAGCGTTCAACTCATAAAGCATGGTTAGCTTCACAGCTACCATGCACAATTATGGCTACCTCGATCTCGATATGTTCAACTGCCAGGGTGTTGACCTAGGTAACCGACATCGGTATTTTTTAAATGTAAACATTTAAACTCAATTTGATACTTTGATCATATCTGTTTGACATACCCTACGTAACATGTAAGTTAATGCTTTACTGCAGCCAATGCAATTCACTGCAATATATGTCTCCTAAAACTCAAGGCAATTTCATAAGTATTGAACACCAGAATACGTTACCCTAACCACGCACAACGCGTCACGTGAGCGCAATATGGCGATATCATTGTTTATTGATATGATTGAAATGAACAAAGAGTCATATTTCTCCTTAAGCAGGCGATTTAAGCCAGGGTTGCTGAAATGTACAAGATGTTACACTAGTTAAACAATCACTGCTACATGGACATACGTGAGTCGGTAGTACTTTGTCTGTGGACAGATCGAGCTAGAACGATGGAAACTGTGCTTATAACAGTGTGATATTCCTCAGTGGGTGTATATGATAAATTTGGAGGCTGAACCATGTCTACATTCAATCATGGCGCAATAATGGTAGGTCTATGTTGTGTTTTCTTTGTTCAAGTCGTAGACATGCTGTACCATGGCTTTGTAGTGTAACCTTTGTTGTGTCTTTACAGTGCATTTGTTGTTGAGTGTCCGTACCTGATGTGTTCATGTGTATGTATTTTATAATATAATGCATTTTAATCTTGCATTTGTCCGGATGGAATTTTAAAAGCCATTGATCTGACCTTTTTTGGAGTTGATCTAGATCATCCTGTAGATTTATATTATCGTTATAATTGTAAGTTTTAGTATCATCTGCGAACAAGTACGTTGTTGCTTTATTAGATTCCGGAAAGTCATTAATATAAATTGCAAAGAGAGTCGGCCCTAAAACGCTTCCCTGGGGGATACCACTTGTTACCTTCATCCATTTTGACATGTCCCCGTTAACCGATACTCGCTTTTTCCTGTTAGTTATGAAACTTTGCACCCATTTGATAATTTCTGGTGATATTCCGTTTGATTTTAATTTGCTGATGAGCCGTAGATGTGGGACTGTGTCAAATGCTTTCATGAAATCCAAGTATACTGTTTGGATTGATCCTCCTTGGTCGATAACTTCTGTCCACTCATCAATAATATTCAGCAACTGTAAAATAGTTGACCTTCCTTTAACGGATCCATATTGATGTTTACTTAGAAGATTATTATTTTCTAGATGAGCCATTATTCTTGTCCGTACAATCTTTTCCATAGTATTACATATTACTCTTGTCAAATTTACTGGCCTTTAATTTCCTGGCATCTTCTTGTCCCCTTTTTGTGTATTGCAATAACCGGACCTTTCTTCTAGCCAACCGGAAGTTCTCCTGTTTCCAGTGAACAGTTGAATATTTCGCATAAAGGGGTCTTTTATATGTCCGCTGTTTCTTTCAATACTTTTGGGTGAATATTATCTGCTCCCGGTGATTTGTGGGATTCAAAGTTTTTAAAATGTTAAATACTTATAGCTCTGATATTTCAGTAGTAATATACGGACTCTCTATGGTAAGATATTTCAGTACTGGGATACAACCTTGTGGTTGGACCGTGAAAACACCTGAGGAATAGTCTGCTAATGCGTTTGCCTTATCTTTATCAATGTGAGCGATTGTAGTTTCTTTTCCACACTTAAGGTAATAGGATTGTGTCAACATTTCTCAGTAGAATTTCTTCAAATTTTGTAGTTATATTGCTTTGAAGTAAAGAACATTTTCTGCCACAAAAAAAATATAGGTTGGCAGAATTTTTAGGATTTTAAATGGAAATTTATGTAAAAAGGAGTGAAGTTTGAAAAAAAATGAAAGACACAATTGTTTGCAAAATAATGTCAATACAAATTATACTGCCATAGACAAGTATTGCATTAATGTATATCAATTTAAAAAATGCTGAAATTGTGTAAAATAAATTATCAATAAACGATTAAAAATTGACATTTTTTAATAAAACCATATACACATAGTAATTGCATGTAAGAGTTATCTGTCTTGAAAAACTTCACAGTAGTGAATTAAGTAGCTGGTTTCCTGAAGTACAGAAAAATGGACACATGTGACTCATTGATTAAAAAACCTGAAGGAATGCCTGGGTTGCTTTGAAATACTTTAATATTGAGAGAACACACTAATCTGTCAATAATAAACATATGATATTCATCAGTTTAATATTAAACTTTATAATTGTGATACTGTCTCCCTACATTGGATTTTCAACTAGGGATGTACTTCCTATTTCCGTTTATCAATACACTCCTATGACCTTAATGTGCAGCTTTGGGATTCCTGATTTTGATTTCGTTTTGGAGCTTGCATATCTCCAAAACTTCTTGGAGTTAGTCTTAACCTCTTTCGCGATTTCCCTATTTCCTTTGTTTCCAGATATCTCTGCCAGCTCATGTGTTTCCGTTTTATAGCATGTACAGTTTGGTTATCTAGAGGATTCTGTTTTTTATTTGTTTCTCTGATGCTTTTTGGAATATGTCTATCAATTGCGAATTTAATTATCTTCTGAAACATTTCGTACTTTGATATTGTGTCCGATGCGCGGCTTTATATTTCCTTACAGTCTATCGATAGTTATTTTCTTATTTGTTCGTAATCACCTCTTTTGTAATTAGACTTGGTACTTGATATATAACCGGAAGTCTCTCTCTGTCTACGTTTGGCATGAGTCGTCTCCATAGGAATTACAATAGTATCGCCACAACATAAATGTTAAGTAGTCTAGCTTGTTGATAGCTCAGCCGCAATCGCGAGCATTAATACGTAATAATTTTGTATACTTTGTCCCAATGTCTAAATATGCATTCATATATAGCAGAAATAGCAACAATGGCGACAATAGTATGTGTCAAGTTTTCGAGGAAAGCTACCCTTTTACCAGGATAACACAAGTACAATCGTCCTTTATCACCACCTAAACTCTAAACCCGTGCAGGCTCGGGGAACGAAAATGCCTGTTGTATGCCACTGCATGATCGTAGAAGGCAACCAATGCGGGGTTCCTGCAGAATCATAGGTTTTCTTCTGTCTCTTCTACTCTAGTGTGCATGGAAGTGACCAAAATTGATTTGCTGCCCCCCTCCCAGTGTCGGATCTCTTTCGTCTTTTATCTCTCCTGTCTTCTATCTGTTTAAGGCGGTGTCTCCCTGGCATTCGTCATCATATGACCCTGGCGAGGGTGTTAAACCCCAAACAAACAAACAAACATACAATCAGTATGGCTATACTACGTTATCTTATAGCACCAAAAGAAACCTTATACGTTCTATTCCATGGACATATTCCCTTAAAAATAAACACACATAACCTGAATTCTGCTCCAAAGATATCGCGAAAGAATACTTGTGTAAAAAGAAAAAAATGAAGTGAGATTGTAAGCAACAATAGAACTGACTGAATATGTACGAACGTCTGTTAGAAACAAATTTATTCAACTTGATTTACATTTCGTTACTTGTAATAAAAAAATAAAGCTTTGTGGGGCAGTTTCCTGGTGGAGAAATGAAATGTTTTGCAAAAAGATTTCATTACTTAATACAGCAATTTCTTCATATCCGTTTTAACAGAATTGCTCATTTTTATGTATGTTTTATATAATTTCAGACTACCCAAGAGTTTGTAAACCCAGCATTTGAACTGGATGAAAACATTCCGTCCGATTCCAAACTCTCAGACCTTGTAGAACTTGTGATGAAGCAACAGTCTGATCAAAACAGATACGTGCATCCATTCGGACAGAGCAACGTGTTCTTTAACGACACGCCGACGTCCATACAGAACACGGAAACAGTCGTCTTCTGGCTTATCTTCGTAATCATGCTGGTCGGCTTAGCTGGTGCTATAATCATCATGGCAGGTATGTTGGTAGACGTCGAAGTAACCCGAAAACTCCAATGACAATGTACAAATTTGTATGCGAACCGGGTAGAAATCGAGGTTTCTCGAATTTCAGGTTTGACATCATTATGAAGTGATTCCAATGCTTCTGTCATTATTGTAGGCGATTTGTATTGAGTATGGCAAAGCCTATAATTCTTATATGTGTTAATATTATACTATTGTCCGGGTCCTATGTAATCAACACACATAACCAAGGGCCTTATGACCGGTGCGATGCTTTCAATCTTCAATGTTTAAGTTAAAAAATATACGTGAAACACATATCTGTGCTAGGCTGAACTATACGATTTTAAACAATCAGACAGTGATAACCGAAAATTAGACAGCTAGCAAGAACATTTCTTAAAATTAAACACACACAAAAATAACGGCACCCTTTTCTGTTGTCAATATAAATGCACTGTATATTACATGTATATTTAATAAAAATAACAAGCTGTAATAAATGGAACTGCATACTTAATATGACGCTGTTTTGTGCTTCAAGAATGTGTCTGTAAATAAATGCTTAGCAAATGTTCAAATTGTAACAGGTTTTATTATATGCATGAAAATTTCTCGCAATCACATTGGTCGGATCAGATACACGTGACCAGTCCTCAAAAACTCATGTAGACTGGTTATCCGGTGAATATCGATTTCTAAATATAACCTATATGGAAATTCCCCGGAACCTGTCGTAGCGCATGCGCAGTTAGACCGGAACGCGATCTGTCAGACGACAATTGAAGATAGCTTCTGGCGAACGTTTCTCCTCCGTTACATCAGAAAATTACCAAAACTGTTCAAGGATAAAGATGCTGTTAACATAAAAAGGCCATTGAACACACAGTGCATGTCCTCCATGCTTATCTTAAGGAAAAAGAACCTAGACGATGCTGAACTGTTGATTCAAACCTGGCTAAATATTACACAGAGGCTTGCGTACAAAAATCAGAACCTTTAGTTTTGTTTTATTTTATTGTGGAGGCATATAATAAAACAGTTATGGGCTTTTGTGCTGGTAAATATGATGTGATATAAACATGAAAGAGTGATATTGACCTCGGCTTCGCCTCAGTCAATGTCACTCTTTCAGGTTCATATCACATCATATTCACCAGCACATAAGTCCATAATTGTATAATATACAATATAGGATGATCCTATCGTTACCAAATTATCGAAGGTTATATTATGAGATGACCCTATCGTATATTATAGGATGACCCTGTCGTTACCGAAATATCCTATAGTATATTTACCGCACCGTAAATCATAAGACGACTCTATCGTTATCAAAATACTCTTTGGTATATCATAAGATAACCCTATCGTTACCGAAATTCCTATGATATTTTATAAGATGACCCTATCGTTGTCAAAATATCCTGGGGTATATTATAGGATGACCCTATCGTTACATAAATACCGCACAGTTTATCATAAGATGACTCTATCCTTATCAAAATACACAAGGTGTATTATAGGATGACTCTATCGTTACGAAATTCCTATGGTATATTATAAGATGAACAGTACATCGTTACATAAATACCGCACAGTTTATCATAAGATGACTCTATCCTTATCAAAATACACAAGGTGTATTATAGGATGACTCTATCGTTACGAAATTCCTATGGTATATTATAAGATGAACAACTCTTTTGATATCAAAATACCCTTCGGTATATTAAAGGATGACTCTATCTTTACAAAAATATCATATGATATATTATATGATGACCCTATCGTTACCAGATTACCGTAGGTACATGTAATATCATGAAATAGATGACTTTTTCGTTATCAAATACATGGTGTATGATAGAATGACCCTTTGATTATTGAAATATCCTAGGGCATATTATAGGATGACCATTTCGTTACCACAATATCCTAGGATAAATAATATAAAGATGACCCTATCGTTACCAAAATATATTGGTAAATCATTTCTGAAGAGAAAACCATATATTGTAGACCTTTTATGAAAAAAAAGAGAGATGGAATAAACTAAAGCTTATCTTAAACATTGTTCTGAATGTAACTATGCAACGGCTCCAGTTAAATCAGGAAAAATGTATGCATGCAGCACTGCAGTGGTTTATCTCGTATCTGCCCAGCAGTCGGACGGGGATCATCAAGTGAGATATATTGCACACATTATGATGTATATATTGAGCATACCTTTGATTCACGACCAGAGTTAACGGGTTCACCGCTAACGAGCTGTTAGCAACCTGCAAGTTTATCGTGTTGGTTCTCACATGTAGGCATAATAATGTCATTGTACATGTGATGCTAAACAGAACAACAAACGTTACTACTACTACTAACAACTACTGAAGTAGCCAGTGAACTACATGTACTGGATTGCGATGACCTACATCAGCTTAGGGATTGGTAAATGTGTGATCAAGCGATTAATGAAACTCAACGTGCGTTCCCACGACTTATTCATGGAATATTGCATGTGCTTCCCATTTGTTTATCTCAAACTTTCAAGTAAATGACATACATTAATGAATGAAATCAAGTCCAATCGATACATATGTACTGCAGCATATATATAGTTAGCAAAGGTTTTCATTGTGTGTTATTCTGTTTGACCCCATTATAGCAGACAATAAAGATGAATGGAGATTGTTGTGTTCATAATACCAGCACCGACTACAGTAAAAAATACACAGTTAAGACTCCTCCTTATAGTTACAATCCTTCCTTATACATAAACGTAACTGATCAAGGTGAATAAATTACACTAAGGTGAGAGCTGTTTGGAAACGAACTGTTATAAAGAACAGCAAAATACCTTCTATTTGCTCCAATTAAGTAAGAACATAGTTTGTAATACTTTGGCAATAATCTATATTTGTTACATTACAAGTATTTACTGCAGTACTAGTTTAGATAATATTTTGTATATTCCCAAAATATTTACGCAAGAATATAACAGTAGTAGATTCTGTAATCCTGAACGGAGGGTCCAAAATCATCGTCATTGTTTTATATTTCAAAACAATAAAAAGCTCAGGGCAAATCGGGGAAGTGGAAGGCTGTCACACCCAGATTCAACTTTGATGGCTTTTACAAATCTATTCCGAATTCTATTCGTAAGCTTTTTGCGTTTTTAACATGATGATGTATACTAATTAAATTCTATGCTCATGATTTTTTCTATACTTCAGAAATGTTCCGACTGGATATGCTCGCGACCAAAGCCTTGAACAGCACAACAGTTTCCAGTTGAGGCAGTATGGACTGTTTACATTAGTTTGACAACGAATCACTCACGTCCATATGGCTCGAAGTCCCTTTCCGGATTTTATCGATGTTTTTTGAAAGCCATAAGAGGCAACCGGAATATGCTGTGTTTACCTACGTGTGGTACGGGTCCTTACGACACCACTTCTTGTACAACGCAAGATAAACGACGTGTACAGACACCAATCACAAAATGGAAGGAATTGATTTATAATCATCTTTTTCTCCTCCCTATATGCACGCCGGAGGGATTAATTACATTTTTTCTTTCCGTATATGCACGCCGGAGTAGATAGCGGAAGTTTTCTAAACACTCATTTGTAATATATTTTCATACCATGATATTGGAAGCTTTCGATGTCAACTTTCATCATAATGTGCCATTTTATCTTCATATTCACCAGTGTGGATACAAAATAAAACTGCATGCATGTATTGGTTCCCCCAGTCATTTACATTGTATAACATATGTCGTGAATTAACATGATGAAATACATTAGTTCACAATATGAATTCTTCAAGTCAAGTTTTCTGTTAAATGTACCGGAAAAGTTGCTCTTGGAATCTCAGTAAGTGTAAAATTGCATGTCGTGGGGAATGAGATTTAATTGCATTTACAATTGGTAAGCGGATTACAAATCTATTAAAGACCATTTTTATATTGGAAATATGTGGTTGTCATTTGCATTTAAAGATATAATGCCTGCCTATTCTGCTTTCTGATTTGGTCTTAAACAGCATGGGATGAGTGTACGACGTAGTATGCTCAAATTGAATGCGACAGGTATGGCTGATATGTCTGGTATGTCAGGTATGTCTGGTATGTCAGGTATGTCTGGTATGTCTGGTATGTCAGGTATGTCTGGTATGTCTGGTATGTCAGGTATGTCTGGTATGTCTGATATGTCAGGTATGTCTGGTATGTCTGGTATGTCTGGTATGTCTGGTATGTCAGGTATGTCTGGTATGTCTGGTATGTTTGGTATGTCAGGTATGTTTGGTATATCTGGTATGTCAGGTATGTCTGGTATGTTTGGTATGTCAGGTATGTCTGGTATGTCTGGTATGTCAGGTATGTCTGGTATGTCTGGTATGTCAGGTGTGTCTGGTATGTCTGGTATGTCAGGTATGTCTGATATGTCAGGTATGTCTGGTATGTCTGGTATGTCAGGTATGTCTGGTATGTCTGGTATGTCAGGTATGGCAGGTATGGTAGGTATATCAGGTATATCAGGTATATCAGGTATGTCTGGTATGTTTGGTATGTCTGGTATGTCTGGTATGTTTGGTATGTCTGGTATGTCTGGTATGTCTTGTATGTCAGGTATGTCTAGTATGTCTGGTATGTTTGGTATGTCTGGTATGTATGTCTGGTATGTTTGGTATGTCAGGTATGTCTGGTATGTCTGGTATGTCTGATATGTTTGGTATGTCTGGTATGGCAGTTTGTGGGTTCTCAATAACCTTATCATTTAAAACTGTAACTTCGTATTTAAATACATACTTTTATACTATACAATGTCGAAACAGAAATATATGTTATCAAGCGTCGATGAGTGAGAGCAGCAAATGTGAAATGGGATCGTTTTGGCTCAAACATTTTATGATCCCCATATTAAGACCATGCTATATGACCCTACGCTGTACCATGAATATCTTAATCTGTGGTCGAAGTGTTTTTCATATACCTGATACACTGATGGATACGTCTATACAATAAATGACCGTTATCTGTGACGGTAAATGACACGTGGTGTTGTGTTTTATTATATACATCTACAATTGTTATCACATACTTGTTGAATCTTGTTATAGTAATACAAGCAATTTTCAGACCATGAAATACAACGTTCTGTATTGCACATGTGCAGTACGGAATATGGTATTTACCTGCTAGCCGGAACTACTTTTTATGGGAATCCCCTTGTCATGGCGAACTGAAAAGTTCCCGGTATTTGCAAAATATATCAAAGTTTATAAGATCTTTGTATCGATCTCTACTAAATACGGAAGGTATGTGATACAAGCCAGACGAGAGCACGAATGAATATATACGTCCGCGCAATAAATGAGTGCTTTCTGATTCGTTAGAAAAACAAAGAGTGTAGTCTTGCATATGTATCTATGTTGTTTTTTTTTGTACGAATATTTTCGGCATTTTAAAAACAAGATTCATTCTTATCTAATATTAATGTTCAACTCTAAACAGCTAAGTTTATAAGAAGATTGGCGACCATGGAGATACAACCGGTAATGTGCAGCAGGTTGGAAAGATGAAGATAACTCCCAACTGTTGTAATGGCGGTCTTTGAAAAACAAGAAATGCATTGACCACATCCATCGTTTATACCCTCCAGACCTTTGAAATCAAGAACGCCACCGATTCTTCAACCTCAGCAGCTTTCTTCGATCTTTACTTAATACATTGCTTAAAGTGACGTTTTTGAATTTTCTATCGTGAACATTCATTTTCTTGATAGCAACACATCTGCGTTTCCCCTACCTTTGTTGTTAACATGTCGCAACTTGTTTGAGGGCTTCCGTCGAATATCCTGACTTCCGTCATATATGTCGACTGCTGACGGACAAACGTGCAACACATAATTTCCAAGGATGTTTGCTGATAAACTATGGACAAGTTTTTTGGTCGCAGGGAAATATGCTATTTTTTTGCGAGATATGCAAGTCGATATTTGCGATTATGCTCATTTGAGTGTCCTGTGTTTTTGTTGTCACTACCCGAGTTTCCGTTGCGCGGACGTGATATAACTTGGATTTGACTAAGCTTGACAGGGCAGGCGTCAACAATAGCAGAATACACTAACCCTTCCAGAACTCTTGTCTTTTTCGTATTGTACTTTTTCAACAGTCCCGATTTAATGTTTTCTATATTTATTCTTTGCTCGAGTTATTGATTTTACATTTGATAATGTTTTGATGAGAGTTTGGTTTTCTTTGTATTAATATTTTTTTTTTTAGATAAGATTACGTCCTTGCTTACTTTTTTTGATTTTATAACCATAATTTCTGTACTTTTCTGTGACGTTTCTTTCCTTTCCTGTTGAAGAATTACATTGTCTACATAATTGATGTATGGGAGATTCTTCCAGAGGTATTTGATTCATAAGAGAGCGTTGGGTTTTTTCCCCAAAAAATCTATGTCAATGATGGTATAATTGTCATTTTTAAAATACCTATATAGTTGTTGACTCTTTTTCTCACATATCTCACCTGAACTTCGGGGGAAAACGGTATCGATAACGGAAGTTCAATGTTAGATTTCTAAATAGCATGCATGTACCGACATTGGCCGTATTTGGAAAAATCAGAAAAAAAACTTTATTCTAAAGACTGCTGCAAGACTTTATTGCAAGCTTGTACAATATTTCTTATTTACTTACGTTGCTTTTAGTTCCCGACGCAAGATCACAGACGGTTTGACAGGATTTCATTTGTTGACGTCATAATGTAACGTCGTAATTTGATCGTGACATCGTAAAAGCAAGCGCTATATTTCGCATGAATCTATAATTTAAAACAAAACGGGAGGAATATGTTATCGAAAAATGAACGTAAGATTCACACATGTGAATTCACATTTATAAATAATATACAGTATGCCAACTTTGAATTACTCTGCTCTATTTCCTGTCATTCTAGAACTTATCGGCGATGATAGAGACCAAAAATGTGGAAATCTGAATTGGTATAATCGGAATCTGACATGTTTACTTCCCCGTTCGTGATATAGTAAAACTGCATATACATTGTATGTAGTTTTGGAGTAAAACACATATAATATGCAACAGTTTTAGCAAACAATCAGTTACATTATTATATAAAAATAACATTTGATCTAAGGATCCGCGTACCACTGTGACCAAGGATGGAAACCAGGAATATAGCTTTAATAAATCATTCTAAAAATTAGAAAACCATACCTTGCGGGACTTGATAAATATTAAAGATGAAATGAACAAAATATAACCAACAACATTGTTCTGAGTGTAAAATTCAGCATGGGTGGGATTCGAATCCTGGACCTCAGATTTGTGTACTATTGCTCTAACCGTTGAGCTACCTGGTCGGAAAACGGAAACGGAAGTAAAGGGGAGGTTACTGTATATGGGAAAAGACATAGTCCAGTGGGACAGGGATCCTTAACTGATGTATATGAACAATGGAATTGCAGGTAAAGAATGCATCACGATACTTCTATAAAAAGATGGGTGACCTGATCAGAGGGTGTCCATGTTCCCTCATTCAGAATAATCGGATTAGTCTGCAAGGTAAAAACGCAAAATTAGAGTAAGAAAATATCACGATTTTACCTTTGTCAATGTGCTTGAGTCACCATCTGTACCTGAATTTTTTGCTTCATCCTCTGATAAAGTGATTGATGTTCATCCGCAGATTTCTGACAGTTCAATTCACTGCTGACTACTTTTTCTAATATACTTAATGATAAATTTTGCCTAGTTTCGCGATGATAAGCCGATTGTGACGGCGTTATAATGTAAAGAGCTTTGATATACATATTCGATTTAGTTTCGTCAGAGGTTTATATCTTACCTCAAGTCTATCCAACGCTTTTTATTTTAAATGCTGTGTCGTCTGAAAAACAATTGAGAAATTCTGTGTAAAAGATAAACGTTAGACACACATACATGTGACTGTACATTGAATTTGATGAATATACAGCGTGCAATTAAATATATAGCGTGCAATTAAATATAAAGCGTGCAATTAAATATATAGCGTGCAAAAGATAAATAACACAGTTAGTTCGAACTTCTATGACTACTTAGTGATGCTAGGGACCAAAATGGTGGAACTTCAATTGATCTAAACTATTTTTGGAACAGAAGGAGGTGTGAATGAATCCCTTATCTATATAAATGTCAAAAACTATTAGAGTATTGGGCAATTTAGTATAAATTATACGTGTGTGTATCACGAATCTTTCTAAACAGATATCCCCGTGGCTATCAATGTTACGGGAAACCTTATGGATGTCCTCCTCGAAATTCAAGGGATTACACTCATGTTCTCTGTACTCTTGAAATATGTTGTGGCACAAATAAAGTCACGGAGTTGGCTATTTGATTGGATACAGGTATACAATTGAACAGTAATTACCTGTTCTTTGAAGATAACAGGGGAGAAAAAACAACATTTAACGCTGGTCTTTTCACCATTTCGCTGTTGCGCTATTGTTAAGACGTGCATCAAACTAGTACATGTATACTTTTTTCATCCAAAATGTGGCGCATTTGACATGCTATACGCTCATCACAAAATGTAATCGTTAAATTACACTTTTCAACCAAATGCATGACCCATATTGCTATTCAAGCAGAATGACGACCATAATATTTCTACAGCGTGAAATGAATCATGTCAAGTACAAAACCCAGACTTAGTGGTGTAGTGGTCGACAGCTCATCGTGATATAGAAATTTAATTCGACAATTAGCAATAGAGAATGGTAAGCTAGTACTGTAAAGAGGGAATATAATATTTGCTAAACTGAAGAAGTCATGTTTATCATAGCATTTTGTTAGTGAGGTAATTATTATTGACATAGTGTAGGTAAAATATCAGAAAAGGAATGCGAAGAAATGTTTCCCTCTTTTTTTATGGTGTCTTGAAGTTAATTTTTTTTTTTTAATCTGATTCTTTTTATTTAACTATTCATAAATTGAAATTGAAATGAATTTTCATTTTTTTATTTTGCTTTGTGAAGAAATTTATTATAAGAAATAAATGAATTACTATCTTTTTTCCAGGACTGAAACGGGAAACACAACATCCTAACCAG